GGGGCGCCCAGCCAGGCCAGCGTGGGGGGCGGGAGAGGCGCCCGTGGGGGCCCAGCGCCGTGCGCATCCCCGGGCGGGCAAGTCTAGACGGCTCTGTGTCAACAGCCGAAGATAAATAAGATTTTATCAGCTCGGAATCTGTTGAAACACATCCATCTAGCGGTTCTGGGCACCGAGAGGAGGCGGAGCGGGAGGGTCCGCGCGTCCGCGGCCCGCTCCGCTCCGCCGAGCAGAGGCCGGCACCTGGCAGGGGTTCCCGGGGCGGGGCCGGGCTCCTGGCCTTTGGCAGGCCCCTCCCCACCCTCCCGGGCCTGGCCTGCCCGAGTCGCCTCCCAGGACCCTCTTGCCCCGTAACGCAGCACCCCTGTTCCCAGCACCCCTGTTCCCGGCCTGATGCCACAGGTGTGGGCAGCCACTGGCACCCTTCCCTGGTGCTGCCTGGCTCAGCCTGGGCTGGGCACCGCATGGTGGCACGGAGAGGCAGGTGGGAGCTTGGAGGGGGCTCCACGTGGCCTGCTCTGCCGGGCAGACGGACCAGGGGTGCGGCAGGGTGCGGTGGGGGCTGGCAGGGGTGCGTCTGGAGGCCACTTCAGCAGCAACCAGGGGCAGCACTGGGTGGGGACACCCTGTGGGTCGTGGGATCAGGCCGAGGGACCTTGCCCGGGGCGCGCGACAGGGAAAGGACCCTCCGCTCTCCACGGAGCTGACCGCTGGGATGGGGCTGGCCTGCCCAGGCCCTGCTGCTCAGCCCCACGGCCCGCGACAGTACCAGGGACAGCTCCCGGCGGCTCCTCCCCGGGGCGGGGCGTCCCGGGCTACTTGCCCCCCCCCCCCCAAACGCCACTTCCTTGCGTTTCAGGCCTCTGGCTAGGAAATACAGACCCCATGGTTATCACTGGGGTGCCCCACTGCGCCTGGGCCTGCAGGCACCGGAAAGGGGGGCTCGCCCACCATGCCACCCTCAGCGGGCGCCCCCTTACACCTCCCCTGGGCTGGCAGTCCGCAGCAGTGCGGGGAGGGGGGGGTGGGGAGAGGGGGACAGCAGCAAGCCACGCTTTGAAGGACCCCCGCGGCTCCCCCACATGGGTGGAAAGGGAGGGGCTGCCCTTGCCCACACCTGGAAAGGTGACTGGCCGGCTGGAGATGGGCGTCCAGCAGACTGTTCTGTGGTGAGGTCGCTGCCCCCGCGGAGCCGGCAGGCAACCCAGCTGCAGTGGCCAGAGCCAGAACGGGGTCTGAGGCTGGACCCCAAAGGCCAAGGCTTGCTCGTGTCCTCCACCCCTGCTCCCCGCATGACTGACCAAGGGCACCAGTTCATGCGTGACCCTGGCTGTCCTGCCCCTGCAGAGAGTCTGAGGCTGTAGCACACTGGGCAGTGCCTGCTGCAGGCTGGCCAAGGCCCATGGGGGCACCAGGCGGGGTGCCTCAGGCCAGCTGGCTCTGTGCTGTGAGCCTGCCGGCGCCCCTCACCGGTGGTCAGGAAGGCCCCCAGGGCGACGTTGGTGATGAGGCACTCGCTGGGGCAGAGGGGGTGCGGGGGACTGGGGAAGAGCCCTGTGAACCTGACCCCCCCCCGGCCCTGGGAAGGAGGCAGGAGGGACCCTAGCTGGGCCAGTTGTTGGGGGTTCAGTTAGCTGGGAAAAGACAGCACCCCTGTGGTCACTTCCAGGTCCCCTTTAGAACAGTCAGAATGGGTTCTCAGGTGGGTGACCTGGACCCCAGGATGCACCCAGAGGTGCCTGCAGGTAGGTGACCCAGAGGCGTCTGCTGAAGTCAGGATAGGCATCCCGGGGCCCTCCTGGACCAGGACTGCGGCCGGGCACCCTCTCCCCAGTGACCCAGACCAAGGTGCAATTTCAAGAATAAGCCCCCGCGGCGGGCCCCCGCCTCAGAATCTGCCGTAACAGACTCACCCAAGCTGGTTAAGCGGGCCCCCGAGCGTTCGTGTGAGCGCCTCCTTCCCGCCTCGCTCCCCGGCGGACAGCGCTCCGGGTCTGGGGGGGCGGGCGGTGCTGGCAGCACCCCGGACCAGGACCCCGCCCCGCCCGTCCCACGCGCCAGGCGTGGGGTGGCCTCTGCTGTCCTGTCCACTGGAGGGTCGCCTTGCTCGGCCGGGCGCTCTGCAGGCAGCAGGACCAGGGCTGAGTCCGTTGCCGCAGCCGGAGCGAGGCCGCCGCAGGCCGCTCCCGGCTGAGTCTCCTCTCCGCTGCGCTCTCAGGGGGCGGCTCCAGGGCCCTGCTGTGGCCGCAGCTGGCCTCCTGCCCCTGCTGCTGGCCCAGCTCCAGCCTGGAAGCTGCCCGAGGGTGCTGGGGATGGAGGCGCCCACTGTGTCTGCCCTAGGCAGCCCCGTACCCGAGTCGGAGCCTGTCTAGGGCCCAGGCGGACTGACCGGGCAGCAGCTGAGCTGCGGGCCCGGCCAGCTGCAGGCTCTGGCGGTCAGCAGCCTGCTGTGGGCAGCGCTGTGGCCCAGCTGGGGCAGAGAAGAGCGGGGGAGGGGTGCCCGGGGCCCAGGCAGGCCAGCTAACGCGGGCGCAGCTGGCCCGAGCGCCACAGGCCACCGGGGTCAGCAGATCGGACAAGGCCTTTGGGGCAGGGCTGTTCCTCCAGCGTCCTCGGTGGAGGCTGGCCCGCCATCAGCGCCCCCACACCCCCGCGGGGCTGCTCGGCCTGGCACGGCCTCAGCCCCCCACATAGGGGAAGGGTGTGGCGTGTCCGGCCCGTGCCCGCGCTGTCCCCTGACACCTCTTCATGGCCACATCCGGTCCGGGGTGGAGGGAGGGGCCCCTGAGGCTGGGGGACAGTGCCGAGTTTGTGGGTGGGGTGCTCTGCACGGTGGCCCAGGACGCGTGCGGGCCATGGGGAAGCAGTCGGCCAGGCCTGCGTGCCCTCGGCCCTGGGCGGCCTCGCTGGCCAGCCCCGTCTCCCAGCTCAGTCTGGGTTGGCCTAAGGTGCCGGGGGCTGGCCGCCTGGGCCCTCGCCGCACGCAGACCAGGGCCTGCTGGCCTCTCCCGGCTGGCCCGGAGCCCGGCGGCTGCCCCATCCTGGCCCTGTCTCAGGACACGCCAGCACGGAGCCATCTGCCCGCTGCAGCTCGGGCAGGACCCGGGGCTGCACGGCCAAGGCCTGCGGCCGGGGGTCAGGCACAGGCCCCCAACGTGGGCTCCCCGCTCCCGCCCGCGGGAGGAGCTCGAGGGTGG